GACACCACACATTTCTCCTGGTGTGCTGACGGAGAGCACATAGTGACGTCGACCTGCTCCCCCAGGCTCAGGGTCAGCAACGGATACAAGATCTGGCATTACACCGGGACTGTGTTGTACAAGCATGAAACGCCATCAAATAAAGAGCTGTGGGAAGTTTTGTGGCAGCCCTTTCCGACTGGAGCCTTCCCAGAGAAGCCTGTGAAATACCAGGCGTCTCCGAGTGAACTCGGCAGCACTGAAGCCAAACCGGCGCAGGCATACCGTCCACCCGCTCTCCGCAACAAGCCCCAGACCGCCAGCTCCAAACTAGTGAGTTCCTGCAATCCTGGGTCCTATTCATAAAACATCTTAAAGCTAAAAGTAGCTCATAACTCGCCGATTTAGGAGAACATAATGGGCGTGTCAGTCCTAAATTTTAGACTTGCTCAAGCAAGTATTTCACAAAGCGTTTTAGTGTTAAATCTAGCTCCTAAATCTGCCAAACGTTAGCAGTAGTGAAGAGGACTCCTAAGTCACTAAGACCAAGCCACAAACTATCCTCCTTGCTGAAAAACAACAACACAAACCATCACAGAAATTATAATGGTTTCCACTACAAATAGCCTAACGTTAGAAACCATCAACTTTTAACCATTATACAAGTGGTTTTCCGTAGTGTGTTTTGGGAGATGTTCCATTAGGATTTAGTGGTTTTAGCAAGCCAACAATAGAAGATGACCAATAGAGACCAACAGGCACCATTAAAGCCAGTATAATTCCCATTATAACCAGTAAAACCATTACATTAGCAGGGCTAAAATGGCTGTTGCCGGGAATCTGCCTCGGAACATAAACATTTTAGAAACACGCTGCATTTATTTGCACACACGTTTTCCCAAGCATCTTTTTTCGGTTTTGGAGGTTATCCCAAATCCATATTTTCCTTTGATTATATCCTTGTTCTCATTAAGCAGCTGTGTTCTAAGTAACAGCTGTTCTTGGTTTTCTTTTACGTTTGCATGTCTTACTATCAGCCATGATCTACTCTGTTAATTAAAAGGCTGTTTATATGCATATCCGCTAATTGTTTATGAGAAGCACACATGTAAGAGGCTGAGAATTAGCTGAACATATACTTGTTTAATTAGTTACACTTAGCCTGCATTTTAAAATCTGTATTTGAATGTGGCAACATTTTTATTTTTAAACCTTTATTTGAATATGGCAACATAATATCGCGCTCTACAATATTTCCATGAATAAATCTCTGAGAGACTATTAGCCAATCACTGCGTGCATAGTTAATGAGCACGCTGACATCATCCATAGCAATGAGGTAAGCCCCGCCCCCTCACTCTGAGCTTAACACTTCTCTCTATTCTTCAGTACAGGTTTGTCTCGGCAGCTTTGTGAATAGGTTTTAGAAGAAAACTCTTAGATAAAAACTTTTACTGCTATTTAGGAGAACTCTTGTGAATACGGGCCCAGATTCTCTTTTCCTCCAGATTATGAATGTCCTGTGACAATAATGTGTCTATCCAAGCATGAAGAAGAGCCGCCGCAGAACATGAAGCCTGGTGCTGCAGGAGAGAAGCAGGTGTCAAAAGCTGCTTTGAAAAACCAGAAAAAGCGAGAAGCGAAGAAAGCAGCTAAGCAGGTACACCAGAGCTCGGTATTTGCATTTGTTCAATAAACCGTGAAGAAGAATAAGTGATGCATTCTGTTGATTCAGGAGAACAAGCCGGATGAAGCTCCGCCTCCGGTAGCAGACTCCGCCCCTGCCAGTCATGTGACTTCTAGCTGTGGAGACCCTGAAACTGACAAAAAGATCAAGAATTTGAAAAAGGTGAAATGGTTGGGATATGTTTACAATCAAATAAGATCAGCGTGTATACATGGGTACAGTGAGAAAAACTTCTTGAAGGGAAATAAACACTGTCTTTTACTCAGACTTGGAATAGACCACAGAGTGAAATGGACCTACTTTTATAAAACTTTTTAATTAATTTAATTTATTATTTTTTTATTATTATTTTTTTTTTTTTTTTTACTCTTGCAGTGAGAATAGCCTCAGCTGCCGACATGGCAACATACTTTTTTTTTTTCAATTAAATAACCCTAAGTTCCCGTTGTACAAAAAAAAAAAAAAAATTTTTAATTCTCAGTCAAAATTTAATTTTTTTTTAATTATAGTGAGAAAAACTTCTTGAAGGTAAAGAAAAAAAACAGATTTGGAATAGACCAAAAAGTAAAATGGACCTACTTTTAATTTATTTTAATTTATTTATTTTTTATTTATTTTTTATCATTTCTTTATTTGATTTTATTTTATGTTATTTTACGTAGCTCTTGCCGTGAGAATAGCCTCAGCTGCTGACATGGCAACATACCTTTATTTTGAGTAAATTGACAAAATGTAATTTTTTTTATTTATTTTTTATTGAATAACCCTGTAAAGTTCCCATTTATACCAGTTTTTTAAAAATGTCAAATGTTTTTCTTTCCCTGTTAAAATGTATTTTTTTTTAATTACATTGAGCAAAAATGTCTTGGAGGTAAAGAAATAAAATTGTCATTTACTCTTGACTTGGAATAGACCAGTTTAGAGTAAAATGGACCTACTTTTATTTTGTTTTGTTCCATAAGAATAGCCTCAGCTACTGGTATGGCAACATACCTTTATTTTGAGTAAATTGTCAAAATAATACAAAACCCTGTAAAGTTCTCATTTATGCCAGTTAAAAAATATATATATATATATTGTACATGTATGCCAAATGTGATGCATCTGGCATGTGTTAATGGGATTTTCATGTTTCTCTGGCAGAAACTCAAAGCCATTGATGAACTCAAGGAGCAGCAGGCGGCCGGCAAAGTCATGCAAAAAAATCAGGTAATAAAGCAATGCTCATCAGCATGATTAAAAGTTATTTATTATTATATAAATATTATAATAGTCCCCCTCCCCCGTTTTTTTTACAGCTTGAGAAGATGCAGAAAGAGGCCCAGCTGTTGAAAGAGCTTGAAGAGCTTGAATTAGGATTGTAAACTCACTGTATCAGTTTTCACATTAGTCATCAGTTTTCAAACCTTCATATTGTCGTGAATATGTATTGAGATGACTTTTTTCATGATCAATAAAATAAGAGCCTGTTTTGCTTCTTTGAACATGGCTACTATAATAAGTACTAAATTCTCAAAAGCAATATTGCTATGCAATGTGACGCACAGCGCAAGAGAACATCCCCCAAAAAAATGTTAAAATTCAAACTGCGTGACTTTTATTATGTCTTTCGGGGAGCCGGAAGTGTCCGTTTCTCCAGCGTGAAGCCAAAGCAGTCGCAGATGTTAGCATAAACGCAGATGAAGTTGTTGACAAATAAACTCAACGGGCCGAAGCAAAGCAGCAGGTGTTTCAGGTTTGAGGAGAGCTCACTTCAGTACACTGAGTCTGATACCTGTGGAGAGTTAGCGAGTGTTTATTTGTGATGTTTAGATGAGCCGGTGAGATGCTACTCGTATCGGTTCATACATCACGCCTGTGTTTGTGTTCAATTTTACTCTAACTACTAGTTATTTCTGGCGTTCTTGTAATTTATCCCGTAATATAAATGTATTTGTATTTATTTTACACGTTTAGATGACGTTCAGGCTTTTGGCATTAAGCAGTTCAGCCGTTTTTTATATTTTACATTTGTGCTAAACAGCTCCTCGCTTTTGTCATCTGATTGTTCTTAAGTTGTTTGTTTTAAAAATTAATCTGTAACTTTGAACATTAACTTGTGTGAATAAAAGAGGGGATTTAGTATAGCCTCGGCTCTTGAAAACCCCTCAGTCTAACTGCGTCAATGATATCATTTTAATAAGCAATCGTTCTAGTTTGTGTTCAAAATAAAAATACAACCCTTTTAGCACGAGTTTTAAGCTCAGGTGTTGCGTTTGAAATTAAAATTATGTGACATTATACATATTAATAGCTGTTTTTGATGGAGTTTAACGACAAATATGTCATGCATGTAAATGTTTATATATATATATATATGTGTGTGTGTGTGTGTGTGTGTGTGTGTATGTATGTATGTGTGTGTATATATATACACTGAACAAAATTATAAACGCAACACTTTTGTTTTTGCCCCCATTTTTCATGAGCTGAACTCAAAGATCTAAGACTTTTTCTATGTACACAAAAGGCCCTTTTCTCTCAAATATTGTTCACAAATCTGTCTAAATCTGTGTTAGTGAGCACTTCTCCTTTGCCGAGATAATCCATCCACCTCACAGGTGTGGCATATCAAGATGCTGATTAGACAGCGTGTGTGTATATATATATATACTGTATATATATGTGTGTGTGTATATATATATACTATATGTGTGTGTGTATATATATATATATATACACTGTATCTATATATACTGTATATATGTGTGTGTGTGTATATATTTACTGTATATATGTGTGTATATATATACTATATATGTGTGTGTGTGTGTATGTATGTGTGTGTGTGTATATATATATATATATATATACGTGTGTGTGTGTGTGTGTGTGTGTGTGTGTATGTATGTGTGTGTGTGTATATATATATATATATATGTGTGTGTGTGTGTGTGTGTGTGTGTATATATGTATACATGTATGTATATATGTATCCTTTTTGTAAAGCAGGAAGCGTTAAGAAGAAAAGAGACATCTGTGGCAAATCTTTGTCTTGTAACTTGTAAGTCTTGAAAGACGCGCATTTGAATTTGAGCATGAATTAAGATTTAATTCTGTTTGTATCCTGCAAGTCATGCATCAAGTATGCATTTTGTTTTTCTTCCTGTTTTTAGAGTCTGCTACACTTGAATGGACGCGGTGCCCGCAGGTACACAGGTAGAGCTGCTTTCTGCTCTTCACTGACCCTCAAATATTGAATTGGACGGGAAGGAAAGCAGCTGTCGGCTTCAATTTGTTCTGTTCGTTTGTGCTTTGTTTAGTAAGACCAAACCAACTCACCCGAACCTCAATTATGCCTGTGAAAAAGAAAAGAAAGTCGTCCGGATCCGAGGACCCCAGCATCAGAAAGTGCAAAATCACCAGGTAAAAATATTTGTGAGTTTCTCTCTGCATCTTTCACTCTTTCATACATCAGTCGCTGTATCATCACCTCTTTAAAATCCAGTTACTGTAGGACGCAAACTCCAGGACGGCTGCTTAACCCAGATGACCAGTTCTCTAGCAAGAAATGTCTCGCCTGGTTTTATGAATATGCAGGTACATAAACCAATACTTTGCTTACTCGCATGCAGCCTTTAATAAAAGTCAACATAATTTTTTTTTTTACTTTGGTAATGTGACATTTCAAAGAATGAACATTTCCTAAAAATGCGTTCACCCTCAGACCATCCAATGAGTTTTTCTTCATCAGATCTGGAGAAATGTAGCACTGCATCAGTGTCTCAGCAATGGATGCTCTGCAGGGAATGGGTGCCATCAGAATGAGAGTCCAAACAGCTGATAAAAACATCACAATAATCCACAAGTAATCCACACCACTCCAGTCCATCAGTTAATGTCTTGAGAAGACAAAAGAAACAAATACATCATTAAGACGTTTTTAACTCAAATACATAGTCCATAATCCATAATAACGCTTCCTCCAGTGAAAAAGTGTTCTGGTCTGAATCAGGAGAGAAATCTGCACAGATCAAGCAGCGTTTAAACAGCTCTAAACTAATATGTGGCTGGATTTTGATGTGAGAGACAACAGCAGATGTACTTTTTCACTGGAGGAAGCGTTATTATGGACTCGTGCTTTAGTTAAAATGTCTTAATGCTGGATTTGTTTCAGCTTTTGTCTTCTCCAGATGTTAACTGATGAACTGGAGTGCTGTGGATTACTTGTGGATTATTGTGATGTTTTTATCAGCTGTTTGGACTCTCATTCTGACGGCACCCATTCACTGCAGAGCATCCATTGCTGAGACACTGATGCAATGCTACATTTCTACAAATCTAATGAAGAAACAAACTCATCCTAATCTTGGATGGACTGAGAGTGAGCACATTTTAATTTTTTGGGTGAAATATTCCTTCTTGAGCTGATCTGATTATTGTTGTGGTTTTAAATGTGTAGGTTCAGATGACATTGTCGGACCAGAGAGCATGGAGAAGTTCTGCGAGGACATCGGAGTGGAGCCAGAAAATGTTAGCAAAAATGCATCTATATGTTTCATAGAAAACCTTCAAATTAGGTGTTGGGAATGGTCTTCTATCCAAAATGTGACCCTGGAGCACAAAAGCAGTGTTAAGTCGCTGGGGTATATTTGTAGCAATAGCCAACAATACATTGTATGGGCAAAACAATGCAAAAATCATTAGGATATTAAGTAAAGATCATGTTCCATGAAGATATTTTGTAAATTTCCTACTGTAAATATATCAAAACTTAATTTTTGATTAATAATATGCATTGCTAAGAACTTCATTTGGACTCAAATTTTTTTTTTTCTCAATATTTAGATTTTTTTGCACCCTCAGATTCCAGATTTTCAAATAGTTGTATCTCAGCCAAATATTGTCCGATCCTAACAAACCATACATCAATGGAGAGCTTATTTATTCAGCTTTCAGATGATGTATAAATCTCAATTTCAAAAAATGGACCCTAATGACTGGTTTTGTGGTCCAGGGTCACAAATAGGGGAAATCCCTTGAAATAATGTGCACTGTGTTTGTGTGACCCTTCAGATTGTAATGTTAGTTTTAGCCTGGAAACTTGAAGCAACAAATATGGGATTTTTCACAAAAGAAGAGTGGCTGAAAGGAATGACGTCACTACGGTAAGATGTTTAATGCCTCGAACGTCATGAGAAATCATTCAGTCCGAAGTCTTTTATTATGCTGCCGTTAAACTTCTCTGATGTGTGTACAGTTGCGACTGCACAGAGAGATTACAGGGCAAACTAGATTATATGCGCTCTCAGCTGAATGACCCGGTTATATTCAAGAACATTTACAGATACGCCTTCGACTTCGCCAGGGTGAGAGGATGACAAAAATGCACTTGTTTTCTCCATTTTAAGATAACTTAAAGCATTTTAGGATAAACATTGCTTGTTTGTTGTATCTGTATATAATTTACGGTTAATTTTTTGTCTGCTTATGGATGTTTTTTCATCATATTCATCTGGTTTTATATGTAGGATAAAGATCAGCGCAGTCTTGATATGGACACTGCAAAATCCATGTTGGCACTTCTCCTCGGACGGACGTGGCCTCTGTTCCCAGTTTTCCACCAATTTCTGGAGGTTTGTCATCTTTTTCTTCAAACCAGACTGTCATATCTGCTCCAAATTAGGTGAAAAAAACACAATCAAAGCAGGGCTTGACTTTTTCTCTTTTTTTCGTCCAAGGAGCACATGTGCTCCTAATTTGAAAAATTTAGGAGCACATATAAAAACCTTCAGGGGCACAATATAATTTGTTTTTACAAGGGGACACAAGGACATATTTACAAATAAAAAGACTTTTGCAATACTTTTTGTATTTGTTTTTATACAAGAAGCACACTAGGTTTTTAAATATTTCCGCTTTAAACTGCATTTATTTAATAATAATAATACTAATTTTGAATGTTGAATTAAATGCCAGATACGTTTGTGTAACTAAAATACCAATAACAACCAGTAAAAAGTGTTATACTTTTAATTAAACAAGCCTGAAATATACTGAGACTATTATTTTGAAATGTCTTTACTACTTCCATCTGCTCATTCAAATCTAAATCATATTACAATATGAACACAGTATAATAGTGTGGTATTTATTGATCGTGAACTGCTCTGAAACTGCAAGCCTGTAATACGTGCAGCATCGCCGCATTTAAACATGCAACACTCATGTTTATTTCATTAAATCGTCTCCTTTTGAAGTGTAATTATCACATTAAGCTGTATTGTGATTACTGTGTAATGGGCCCAAATTTACAACCCATTCCAATGATAATGAATATGTTTGTTATAGCATTTAAGATATTTTCATGGCCTTAAATTTGAAACAAAACCCCCGAATTTGAGACTTTTTACTAGTGCTGTCAAACATTTAAAAAAATTAACTAATTAATTGCACATTTTTCTGTAATTAATCATGATTAATTGCATGTTAATATGTTTATACCGTCCTAATTTCACATTGAATCTCCAAATTAATGTAGAAACGGCATAAAGATGGCATCTTTTTACTAAGCAGCCTATTAGTGAAGGTCAGTATCATTGATATCAATGCTGCTATTGGTGTCTCTATTAAATGCATTTCCCCATTAATTATAGCCATTCAAATTACAGTATAATTAATAATAACTGAATTTACTTCTTTTTTGCATTTTAGCGCGCTTGATACCATGTTCATATTGTCTACTATAACACTAGCCAAGGGATGCCAGGGGAAAAAATAGATGCTGCGTTAAATATTTTTACTGTGTTAAACTAAAAAAACGCTTTAATTTTGACAGCCCTGCTTTTTATTGCTGCAAGCGAAACTCTCACACTGCCAAACCCTCATAAAAGTAGTACATTAAAAGCCAAACTGAACCATATGTTGTCATTGTTTTTTTTAGACTATGCATTTAAAAAAAAACCCGAATTCATTGGTATTTGTTGTTTAAAGTGCTGTGACTAACAGAAACGTCTCTCCTCAGCAATCAAAGTATAAAGTCATGAATAAAGACCAGTGGTACAACGTCCTAGAGTTCAGCCGTACGGTTAACACAGACCTGAGCAACTATGATGAAGACGGAGCCTGTAAGTGTGCTGGATTCCTCTCAGCTTCTCTCAGAAGATGTTTCGGAGTTAAACGGCTGCTGATGTGTCTGTGATTTCAGGGCCAGTGATGCTGGATGAGTTTGTGGAGTGGAATAAAACCAGAAATGCATTATAGCGCAAGCAGACGTTTTTGTTGTTTTTGGCTGTGCCCCAGACGATGGCATACGTCTCGAGGACTGCTTCAACATGTCCCACATCACTACCCAGAGACTCTTACAGTCTTACTTTAAAAGGAAACTGCACAGAGGAATCACAAGACGAAAGGGGAAATATTTTTCTTATGTATTGAATTTGTTGCAGCAGGTCTATTGCCAGTGTTGTATGAATTTTCTTTCCTTTTCTTTCTCTCTCAAAGTTTTACTTTGTTTATAGTGTTTTGAAAAGGAAATAAATAAAGCAGTTGTAAATTAACTTTTCTTCTGGATTTTAGTGACTGTTGGAGCAATAAAGCATTTTCCAACTAAAATCTAAATGAAGCATGAATAAAAATATTTACTTTACGTACACAAAAACACCAACGTTTAGAACCAGTAAGATTATTAGTGTTTTTGAAGGAAGTCTCTGCTCACCAAGGCTGCTTTTATTTGATCAGATATACAGTAAAAAATGTGAAATATTATTACAATTTAAAATAGCTATTTTCTATGCGAATATATGTTCAACTGTAATATATTTCTGTGATGCGCAGCTGTATTTTCAGCATCATTACTCCAGTCTTCAGTGTCACATGATCTTCAGAAATCATTCTAATATGCTGATTTGCTGATGAAGAAACATTTCTGATTATTATCAATCAAATATTTTTTGGGAAAATCTGATACATTTTATTTTTCAGGATTCACAGATGGATAGAAAGTTTTAAAAAAACAGCATTTCTTTGAAATATAAGTAGTCTGTAACATTATAAATGTTTTTACTGGCACTTTTGATCAAGTTAATGCATCCTTGCTGAATAAAAGTATTAATTTCTTTCAAAAAAAAAAAAAAAAATCTTACTGACCCCAAACTTTTTATGTATATATTCCAAATATTCGCATCACCGTTACTACTTTTGAAAGAACAGGTGACGTTGCCTATACATGAAAAACATTTAATATACAATTGATGCTTGTAAAAAAAAAAAAATATATATATATATATATATATATAGAGACAAAATAGCTGAATCTAAATGTACACTTGATAAGGCTAGTGGTAGTTTTAGACTCAAAAAGGAAAACGCTGAATGACAGATCAGCCTGGTCTAACCACAAATACAGTGTTTTCAGTGTGTCATAAATGTGTCCCTCGGCCTGTTTGTGAGTCTCCAGTGTCTCCTGCTGAAGCTGAAACACTGTCTTCATCCGCTTGAATCGTCTGGCCGTCAGTCGACTGTCTGGGTTGATTTTAAGAGCTTCAGACTGTTTCATGATTGCATTGAGTCGCGCGTCAGTGACCTCGTCTTCACCCTCCATCCCTGAGTCTTTGATATGGCTGTATGGAGCCCCTTCTTCATCATAGTTGTAGACTTTAATGACGCGGCTCTTCTTCTTTGGATGTGGACTAGCTGCTGATCTCAACTGTGGGGTTTGTTCTTCTCCTTCACAACTCTGAGGCTCATTTGACTCGTTTATAACATTTCCAATAGCGTCCGCATTATCAACATCCATGCGTTCCCGAGCAACCAAACCAGTGTCCACAGTGTCTTCTCCAGCGGTTTGGTTTTTATGGAAGAACACTGTGTCAGTTTGTGCTCTGGTGGTTTGTAAGTTCTTCTGTCCATTAATGTGATTGTGTTTTCTATGAGGCATGCGGGCCCTTATCGTTCGTAGGCACTTCATCACGTAGGATCTACTGAATGCACCGAGTGTGAAGGCTACTAAAAAGCTCACGATTACTGATGATGCCACAGCTGCCGCAAAATGGCTTTCTGACACCGTGTCGCTGTAAACCCCTGCCTCCCTGGTCTTCCTCTGCCGTTTCTTGATGGGAACTACGTTAACTCTATAAGGCACAATTGTTTTGCTCATCTTGTCCAGATGGACACAGTAATAGAGTCCATCATGGCTGGATGTGGCTCTTGAAATCTTCAAAGTGCCATTGCATGTGTACACTGGGTCTTTGTTTTGGTGGTTACAGCTGTCAAACAGACCAAAAGGTGTCTGCCAAAACTGCACCAGCACTGCGGAGAGAAGAATACAACAATCACGACTGAATAGGTATGTTTCATAGCTTAAAAGACTGAAAATGGAGCTAAATGTGGGTTTTTTTCAACAAATGGTCAGTGAAAGGAAGCACATAATTACAAAAAAAGTGTGTGTGTCTGTGTGTGTGTGTGTGTGTGTGTGTGTGTGTGTGTGTGTGTGTGTTATTTATTCAGCTTTCAGATTATGTATAAATCTCAATTTCCAAAAATGTACCCTTATGACTGGTTTTGTGGTCCAGGGTCACATATATATATATACATATATTATAATACTTGATACTTATTTGATACATATATTTGATACTTTAAATAAAGTAAACTCACTGGAATTAAATAAAATATACAAAAGCTAGATGCCAAGTCAACATTTCTCATTTTCAACTTCATGCACTAAAATACTCAAACTAAAACTGAAATGAAAACCATAAAGACAAATAAACAAAAACTATTAAAAATGACCAAAACACACAACAACATTACTAAAACTTCAACTGAAATTAAAATATAGAAATATATAAAATAGAATAGAATAATTAAAAAAATGATAACAGTATCTCAATGAATATAAAATAACACCGGGTCAAACAAACTAAATGCACTTTATAGTTTTATTTTCTGTTTATTTTATATACCTTATTTTTCACAATTCTCCACAAGTCTGATTTCATCATTTTCTATAAATAGGTATAAGAAAACAAAGCCAAAAAAATATATATACTTGATGTGACTGGGACCAAATGCTTTCTGTAATCTATTGATAAATTCAAATTTTCCATAAATTCAAATATTTTTACTACCAACTTTGAGTTGAATGGTTAAGCAAGACGAATGCACTCAACACTACAGTGTATGTAAAATGTAATAATTTTGCGTTTAATAATTAAGAAATTGGAATAAGATTATAGACTTCCAGCACGCTGAAGAAAGAAATTCCTGTCTTTTTGTGCTGCTCACCTTCATCTCCTTGACTTTGGCACCGAAGCGTCAGCTTTTGTCCTGGATGAATGTGAGCTGAGTTTTCAGGTCTGACCTGCAGACGGTTTATTTGAGAGCTCATCAGAGTCTGCAGCGACTCTTGAGGGTTTCTGTGTGCTGCAGTTTTAGATTTGACACACAGAGAACCCCAGAAGAGAATCAAAGCCACCAGAGAACTGATGCTCAACTCCATGGTGTCTAGAAGAAACTGAGAAGTTCAGTGTGTTTTTGACTGCTATTACCAATATTATTGTATTATTAATAATTGCATAAATATAAAACTAAAAAAATATATACAGCTGCCCCACTGGTTTGACTTCACAAAACACAGACAAAATCTGAAGTTCATAGTATGTCAAAAAAACTAAATTTCTGACTGTTTTGAAATGTAAAATCATGTAGATATATGGCATAAAGTATAGATCAGCCAGTCAAAAACAGCAGGAGTGTTGAAGTCTGTAGTTTTCTCTGAGAGAGGAGTAAAGTACAGTCCTCACATGACAGCTCTTATATTTCATCTCGTGCTCCGTGCTTAAAGATTAACATTTTTCTCTTCAGTAATAGGCTGTCATGTGCATGTTTTCCAAATGTTTGAGTTTATGTCATAACAGTTAGTGGCGGTTTATGGTTGAAGAATGTGAGCTTTGGGTCATTAGTAACATTATTTGTCTCATTATGTATGCAGAAGAACAAATGGGAAATTGACAATCCAGCATTCTGTTATTTCAAAAAAAAAAATCAAACATTTGATCCATTCAATGCAATACAGCAGCAGAAAAGTCATTTTTGGCAATATTGATTATAAATTTCCATCAGTGGTGCATGTGGAAAAACAATGTTGAATACTGAAAAAAATAATAATTAAAAAGAAAACTTTTTTACACTTTTTACATACAGACTTTTGAAAATGGTACAAAGAAAGAACGAAGGTTTTCCCTTTTGATGTTGAAGTCAAAGGCTGTGCATCTAAACATACTTTATGTATTTTGGAACACATTTATCCATAATTATATTGTTACTAATAGTTAGGGCCAGTATTTGAGCCATTTCAATGCATTTGAATGTTGTATTTTAAGGACATTTCGTTAATTTAGTTCAGTAAACAGTTTTAAAACTGTGCTTTAGGATGTAAGATCAGGGTCCTGAAGCAAAACCAGTCGAGAACCGCTGATTTAGATCTTGTAATTTCTTTCTTTCATATGGAAAAAAAGCAAAGAGAACGGTGTATTTTAGTTCATTGATCTAAATGCGTTTTCTCCACATAAATTGTATTAAATTATTTTCAGAGTTAATTAGTTGCTGGTCTTTTATGGATGTTGCAGATGTTGCAGATCACGACGCCCGCCAAGTTTCAAAAGATTCACAACAGAAACGCACATGTAAATTCGCCAAATGTAAATTTTTAATAAATTCAATAATTACTGTGTAATTGTATATAGACAACTTTCAGGCTGCCATGTCTACTTTAAACTGCATTTCATAGTAATCTCGATTCTACCTGCTTGATCTATTTCTACAGCGAGCCTCACGAAACATTAGTGTTTTTGCCACACGGTGGCAGCAGGAAACTTAAACATCACCATATGCTCGCTAAAACTACACGTTTTGTGTTGTTTTTTTTTCATTTTTTGTCTTGCTTTTCTTAGCTGCCTGTAGAAAGCTGAATCTAAAATGACAGCAAAACTCTAAACAGCGCGTAAAAGGCCACATTGTTTCTCAGAAAAGTTTGCTTATGTGGCTCGATGGCCCCGTGTTTCCCTTCTGATGAATTGTGATGAGTTGCAGAAACACACACACACACACACACACACACACACACACACACACACGTTGTGTTTCC